TTATTCGGACTTAGAATATTTTGCAACTAAATCATTTGTGCAGTAAAAAGTGTTTTATTTACATAGTAATCAAATAAATATCTAATAATTAATCACAAATTAAGTTGTTATACTTATTACACTAAATCCATCTACCTCAACACCAGTCGTTTGTCCTCCTGTATGCTGGGACGCTACAAATTAAAAGTAAACTCAGTTATTGATAAAATAATAAGAAATACTCGGCTTTTAGTYTAAACCATAGCAAACCACGAAAATGTTAACACTCGGTGTTAAGAGTACGTAACAGTGGTATTTATTGTCTCCATCTTACCAGTGCGTATTTTATATGCTTAATATAATATACAGTACATTAAAAATGATTATAATTCAATTAAAAATTGAATTATCGTAAAAAAACCAACGTACAATCACAGATAATGTTCTTACCATCAAGTTTCATAATAGGTCGATTCACTGTAATTTTTAAACTAAAGGAGCTACAAGTGTTCTGCTGAGCGTAAATTTGCTATATTACGCAATGGTAAGACGGAGACAATAAATACCACTGTTACGTACTTAACTAAAAAATTTCATAAAATAAACGGTACAAAACACTATGCTTTACAAAATATGGTTTTATATTATGCAATTATATAGAAAGCTTATTTTGTATCAAAAACAATCAATTCTATGTCGCCAACCTTGTTATCTAAGCTAAATCTGTGTTCCAAGATCATAATATAAAACAATATGAGAACCATATACCTTATTTTAATAGATAAGCTTTTTAACAAGAAATAAACGATCTGTATCATTAATTATACTTGACACAATAAGAATATTAGATAAAAGTTTACAGGTCATGAGATTTTGTTGAAAGGAGCCATTTGATGACACTTACTGTTAGCTTGATGATAAATTTATAMATTTAATTTAATTTAAGAGATCAAAACACCTGCACTTACGCTTCAAATTTCTCGTTGGATTTCCAGGTATTGCGTGAGTGGCAAAGTTTTTTATAAGTTGATTTGGGAGATTATTTAGGCGGCAATGGAATCTTTTATAAAAGATTTTTGCTTYGTTATTTATTGTTTTGAGTTTTAGTTCAGGCGTGTAATGTATGATTTGAGACGTAGGGTGGARCATTCATCAGTTTTCTAAGAGCAATATTTTGAAAGGTTTGAATTTTTGAGGCATTTGTCTTTTTCGCGTTGCCCCAAAGTTGAAGGCCGTAGRTCTATAGTGGTTTTAATAGCGTTTTGTATATAAGAAGCTTAGTTTTAGTAGAGGTGTATTGATTATTGCATACCTAGTAAAGGTTTAAGCAAGTGAAGACGATGATTCAAGGCTAATCTTTTAGTTCTGATTTGATGAACCCACGTTAATCTTTGATCAAGAGTAAGGCCGAGGTATTTGATTTTTGGARATTAGGGAATCGGATGGCCGTATAGAGCTACGCCAGGACAAAGTGAATGTCTGAGGGTAAAGGTTGTGTAAACTGATTTATTTTGGTTAGATTAGGTTAGGTTTTTTTTACTACAAAATTAAAAAAAAAATAATAATGCATATTATATATTATCATATTATATTTATAATTATGTATTATAGGTAAATGCATTTAGATAATTCTTTAAAGTTAAGGTGTGTAACAATATAATTTACCAACTTATTTATATGACGTATTATATCAATACAATTGAATTAAAACAAAATTACGATGAGGTTGAACTTTATCTGAAAATCTAAATSAAATAAAAATTTGAAATAATTTAGTTTTTTTAATGTATTGTAGTACAAATTAATAGTTTAATTGCGTATATACAATACATATATAAGATACTCTATTATGTATGAGTTGTAGGGTTAGATTTTTTAATTATATATTTATTTATGTTTAGAATTTTAGAAATTTAGTAACTTTATTGAATTTAATTATTTTATTAGATATTCTATTAACTGGTACAAGCCTTTTAATTCTGATATTTTTACACAATATGACCATAATTATTACCTTGAGATATACATTGTACATGTATGTTGTGTAATAATAAGTATAGATTAGCTATACAGCTATACATTTACCAACTTGTTGTTTAATATTAAACATTTTATAGTATTATTATGATTTACGTATATAGTATGCATACCTATGCCTTGTACTGGTATTTTTTACCTTTTATGATCTAATCATCATCACCTACAAATATACAGAATTACGTGTTGTGATAAATAAATCAATGGTAGTTTTATAATATAACTTACTAGATGAGGTAGTATCCGGACCATGCGAATAACTAAGACAAAAATTGAAAACATTTTGAGGATCTAGAAAAAATTTTAAAAATACAACAAATAACAGTGTTATCGAATCAAATATATTTATTTTACGATGAATAATTTAATTTTTGTACAGATTCATGATTTTAGAGCATAGCTTGTAATTAGGGCTCGGATGTTGTTTATGCACTTAAAACTACTGTAATATGCATGTATTTATGCACTAAAAAACTACAAACTATGCGCTAAAAATTTAAWAATATGTATTCTTAGGCAATTTATTATTTGGTTTTAATACAATCCAAAAAACATTTTTAGATTCTGAGTGGAGCGAGGAACGTTTTAATTTTACCATTTTGTGTGTTTTATTTTTAATTTTTTAATTTTTTTTTTTTTTGTGTCTGTCATCACGTTTTGTGGCAGTAAAAGTGCTTCGATTTTTTACTTCAGTATCTCATTCGATCAGAAAGTGAATCTAGGGGAGGGGGGAGCAAAAGTAAAAAATACACAATATTTTTCTTAATAATTGGGATAAACAAACTAAAAATGAAGGAAAAAACGGGAATTTTTACACACAATCAATTTTCGACAAAATCGTTTTTGGTTTTTAATGTAACTTTAAAAAAAAACTACCATAGATGCAGGAAATTTTCACCAAATGCTTATATAAGTATATTCTATCCATTTTATATAGACATTTTCAAAAAGTTTCGACTTAAGTTTAATTATTCATGGGTATATGCAATTTTCGATCATTATTAGTTTTTTTTTAAATTTATATCGATAAAAAATTTAATACATGTTTCCTAACATATTGTTACAATAGCAGTCGAAAAATAAAATAAATTCATAGTCACATTTTTTTTAATATAATCATTCAAAGTTTGAATTTTGACAAAATACGTAAAAATCACAAAAATTCACAAATTATTAAGTTTAAGCTAGAAATGCATACAAAATGTTCTTTTTAAACATAAGATTTGAGAATTTAATACAAGTATCCTTACAAGTTTGTCAATCATTATCACAAAAAAAATGTCCACTTTAAATTCAAATTAAATTTTTATGAGCGTTTGAAATTTAAATTTTTACAACTTAGGATTTTCACTGGATTTCACATTTAGCGATTTTCTTATTTTGGTGTAACTCTAAAACAAGAGACCGCAGGTACTTGAAATTTTCACTGAATACTTTATAGGCATTTTCTATATTTTATAAAGTTTTGAAAATATTTTGATTTGTTTTGAGCTGTTAACTGACATTTTAATTTTTATTACGGCAATGTTCAAATTATCTTAGATAGAAATTCATAAAAGTTTTTCTTTTTCAATCTAAGATTTGAAAATTAAATACAAAGCTTCTAACATATTTTTACAATAGCAGTTGAAAAATAAAAGAAATATATAGTCACAATTTTTTTTTTATATAAGTATTCAAAATTTGAATTTTGACAACAACATATTATGTAAAAATCACGAAAATTCGTAAATTATTTTATGCTAGAAATTCATAACAGTTTTTCTTTTTAGATCTAAGATTTGAAAATTAAATACAAGGCTCCTAACATATTTTTACAGTAGCAGTTGAAAAATAAAAGAAATACATAGTCATTATTTTTTTTTTAGAAGCATTCAAATTTTAATTTTGACAACATACGTAAAAATCACGAAAATTCGAAAATTATTTTAAGCTAGAAATTCATAAGAATTTTTCTTTTTAAATCTAAGATTTTAAAATTTTTAATAATCTATAATATATCCTAGACAGATTAACCGTCTCAGCTCAGAATCATTTTTCGTTTAAAATGATATAATATCATTGAATTCAAATTTAATTCCATCCATTATTGTAACCCACTTGTAACCTACTGTACAGCAGAGTGACATCCACGATTTAGCTGCTATTTTAAATGTATATATAATCCTCAAAAAATCTACTTCGGAGAAGTAAAAAAGKCTTTCTGTGCGTAAGTTGWAGAGATTGGGMGMAAAGATAGAACTTTGGTGTTAATAAAGATGTGAAATCAATCTCAAAGTTCTGTGCCAAAAAGGGCCACGGTTGAAAAAATAGAATTTGGAGCTTA